CATTCTCACCTGGGAAACAGCTTCAGACCTGTGCAGCTGGACATGCACACCAGGAGGCCCCCCTCCTGCCTCCTGCTCTGAACTTTCACGGAAGGCTCTGCTTTGATCTTGGGTCCTCTGCAGAAAATCTCCTTTGGCAAGCCTAGCCATGACAGCTGGGCTCCGTGATGGCAACTTTCTGTAGACAACACCAAAAAACATCTCCATGCCAAGTACTCTGGACAAGACTTGATGAGGGAAACCAGGTGTGTGCTGAGAATCCAGCTGGAGGGAATTGAAACCGTGCCAGGTAGCTTCAAATTTAAAAAAAGGGGGGGGGGGGAAGGCACCCTTAGAATTGCTGAAATGTTCTCTCCTGCAGGGGTTTTGGTTAGCCAGGGAGACCAAGTTTCCTTCACTAATTGCCTCTGGTTCATTTTCTGTGCAACTTGACAGAAAGGATTGTGACAAGTTCTATCTCAGGCCTTGAAATCAGGCAAGACAGGGCTGTGTTTGTCCTTGCTGACCCAGGAGACCAAGGAACCAGTGAAAACTCCCTGTTGTGTTTTATCCTCTGGTTTTGGTATCAACACGAAGACGAAGGGCTGGTCCAGAGCATTCAGGGAGGAGGTGTTAGTGCTTCCTGTCTGGTGCGGATTTGGGGAGACTCCCCAGCTCAGCCCACTTTATCATTTAATAGGTAGTTGGAAGGTGTAGGAAGATGGAGCTTCTGCCACACAAAATATCCTAAATGAGCCAAGCTCCTGGAGATCCCTTGGATTTACTGGCACAGGATGGCTGAAGTTTCTTGAAGCCTGCAGAACCTTTGCCCAGGAAATTTCCATGACCAGGACATTTGAATGATCCCCATCTTTGTGGCCTCCTGCTGAAGAGAAGATCCAGGTTTTGTGGAGTGTGAAACTTATGTAATTTGAGGGAGTCCTCTTTAATTATGAATGCAAAATTGGGTATAACAATGCGTGTTTATTTGGAATAAAAGTCTATCAAGCAAATTCACAAATTTTTCAGTTGATAAGAACCACTAATGTCAAAATACTTAAAAAGTAACAGTCTTTTCATACTACGTATGCCTTTTTTTTTCTTTTTTACAAATTCCCTAATAGTGGTAATTTCACCACTACATTATTGGTAAAACTTTGAGGATTATTGAATTATGAAGAAACTGTTACACAGTTCTTTCATATATGAGCTATATAAGATTTCAGGACATTTCAGCTTTGTGTGTGTGTGTGTGTGTGTGCATGTGTGCACACACTCAACAACTGAATCTTAAATGTTCTTTGGATCGATGAGGTTGTTTTATCATCAGTTTGATGTTGGTCCCTGCCTGTTTGTGTCAGCATGGTGGGTGGTAGGAATATTACTAGAAACCATTTCTACTGGTACTGTTGCAATAATTTAACCAGACAAAAGTGACCGCAAATCACACAAATATACCCCACTGAATCGTGATTAAATGTCACTCCTACACAAATTCCCCCTAGGCAGGTCCCCAGCATTCCCAAAGCCACTCCTGCTGTTTCCCCAACTTGAGGAAATGTGATGGAAGAAGTCCTAGAGAGAGACAGTGATCTTAACTGATGGTAGTTTAAATAACCTACTTTTTCAAATTTTGCAAAAATATATGACCTTGTAACTAGGGCCTTTCCCAGGGCCTTGGAAGGGGCCCGTGCAGGCAGAGAGCCCCTCACACATAAGCTTTAGTAGCTCTGTGGTAAATCTACATATGAAGATTTGCTCAAATTAAACAGCCTACTTCTCTGGCTGGTAGCATACTAGGCTTTCCATCCCTGGTCACTAAATGTTGAGAAATGACTGGGATTTCAATCCAACTCAGTTGCCTAGTGTTTCCTAAACTTAAAAATCTTGCCTATTTTGAGTTTTATTCCTGTATATTCCCACTTTCATACAGTAGATAAAAAGAGCCAAGGTTTAAGGAGTTTGGCCTAAAAGGGAAAGAGGTTTTGGTCTGACTTTTCCATCCATAGTAGAGAGGGTTTCCGTAGGGCCCTCATCTATAGAAATAATTTGAATCACTCCAAATCAGTACGTCAGCACCATTTTGGCAACCCATTCTTGCAGTCACACAAAAGAAATACGGCATTGGCCAGCAGCAGTGATCAGCTTGTCTTGCCTCCCTCCCGGGAACTATCCCTTGGCCTCGAGTCTTTAGAACCACCCATTCTTGCAGTCACACAAAAGAAATACGGCATTGGCCAGCAGGAGTGATCAGCTTGTCTTGCCTCCCTCCCGGGAACTATCCCTTGGCCTCGAGTCTTTAGAACCTCCTGATACAGGCTTCAGTCCTAGTGCATAGAGGGTTGGAGTGAACCCTGAAAGAGAGAAACCAAGACTGGGACTGAAGCCCCTGCAGATCCAAGTCAGGGCATGGGGTACTCCACCTGAATGGCACTTTTTTGGCCCTTGGGCAGAGCTGGGTACTGGAAGGGCACTTAGAGAATTTTGAGGAAGGCAGTCCAAAGTAGAGGTCCCCCTAAGGTGCCTCTGCTTGGGTCTAAGGGCAGTATTGGTAAAGAGCGTACTGGCAGGATTCTTTTTTTTCCCCCCTCTTTCTTTTCTTTTACTCATGTAGCAATGACTGCAAAGTATGCAAAGGTGGAACCTCCTGGAAAAGCTGAATTGTTCACTGTCATTTTAATTGGTTACATTTAATTTAAAAAGTAATAGGTGTGTTTCGTCTTCAGTGATTTTGACTCCTGACCACCCACCTCCTGGTGCTTCCACCTTTATCTTCCCGATGGGACTTTCTCTGTAGTCTTCTAAACGGACTCCCGTTCCCATCGTCCCCGTTCTAGTGCTCCTTTGTGCTCATCTCTGGATGCTATTTGTGAACAATTTGAAAAGTTAAAAACTTGCATGTCTGTTTTTGTCGTTGTTTTGGAAGTGGAGAGGACATTGCCAGGTCGGAGCCAACCGTGCATGAGCGTGCTCTCGCTGCTCTTCTCCTCCCTCTCCCCTTTGCTGGTCTGTGCTTCTCATCGTCTCCCTCTCGCATCCACCCCGAGCACAGCATTTGTCCTTGCATGCGATGGTGGCAGAGCATGTTGTATGAAGAATGCCTGAAGGAACTTAATTTGGAGAATAGAAGATTTAAGGAAGACATGTGGGCTTTAAATATTTGAAGACTGATCATGTGGAAGAGAAGAATGCCTTATTCTTGAGTCTCCAAGCAGTGAAATCGAGTCAGTGGGTAGAAGTTCGCAAAAGTTTCAATCCCAGGGAGAAGAAATACTAATGATTGTCAGAAATGAAATGTGCTACCCTGTGATGACCCCTTGGCAAATATGTTAGGGACTGGATTCAGGCATTGGTTGGATTTGAGTCCATTCTTCTCTGGAAAGTTGAAATGAAGTATGAGAAAATCTAGGTAACGTCCTAAGATTAGGTAACATCCTGACAAAGCAAAGACTCCCCTTTTCTTTGCCTTTGCCCTCCTCTCCTGGTTCCAAGTAAACATCACTCCTGGCAACTACTCTGAGCCTTTGACTCCTGGGTGCTTCATTTGCCCTTAGACATTTGGCCCTTGGCAAGAACCCATTCTGTCTGTGACGTTGGCTTCCTCCTCTGCTCACATGCTCCTGATAATCATTCCATTCATGGTCTTTCATCACCTTGCCTAGGGCTCAGCTTGTATCTATGTGGCTCAAGCCAGGAGTTGATATGTGGACTGAGTTGTCATTAACTCCTTTCCAATGCCTGTGGTTCCATGAATCTATGACTCTTGCCTTACCTGATTTGGGGGTCTCAGGGTTTGCCTTGATTGGATAGTGGATCCCACTAGGAGATGGCTCGTGCAATAATCTCACCACCATGTGCCTCCTCCATCTTTTATCCTTCATTCTCTCCTTCATAGAATGTTAGATTCACAGGAAATGCATTTTGACCTGCTGGTTTTACTAAACCTATCCTAACTTAATCTCATTGTCTTTTCCTCCTAGCTTTGTTCTCCTTTTTCCCCAACCCAATCCTTTATTGCCACCAGTGAGGCCCTGGAGCATGCTGAGCCTCACTGCAGGCTTTCAGACAAGAAAAGAGGGCCGATCCCTGTTTACATTCATGCCATTCCTGTATGTCCCAATGATAAATTCCCTTCATTAGGAGAGAAAGGACAACATATTTTTAATGAGGCCTTTGGAAGTAATTTCTTGTTTTCATTACTAGACAAAAATTAAGTTTTATGGATTTGCATATTGCAGAATATTTTACTACATGGAATCTACCCTTTTATCAATTTTTTTTCCTTTTTGTCTTTTTTACTGACCGGTAACGGGATTGCAACCCTTGGTGTCGTGCCCCGCACCGCGCTCAACCAGTGAGCGGGAACCGGTCTCCACATGGGTCCTTGGTGTCGTGCCCCGCACCGCGCTCAACCAGTGAGCGGGAACTGGTCTCCACATGGGATCCGAACCCTCAGCGGGAGTGCCGCCACACTCGCAAGCGGCGCACTCTCCAGTGCGCCACCGGGCCGGCCCCCTTTTATCAATTTTTTTTCCTTTTTGTCTTTTTTACTGACCGGTAACGGGATTGCAATCCTTGGTGTCGTGCCCCGCACCGCGCTCAACCAGTGAGCGGGAACTGGTCTCCACATGGGATCCGAACCCTCAGCGGGAGTGCCGCCACACTCGCAAGCGGCGCACTCTCCAGTGCGCCACCGGGCCGGCCCCCTTTTATCAATTTTTAAAATACAGAACAATAGAGGAAAGAAAAATGTGATAAAAAAAATTAAGTTCATTTATTCTCCCTTAAGAGATATGGACTTAGCCTTACCTGTCCAGAGAAAAGTTGGGCTCTGTACTCAACAGTAGAAGTAGAAAACGAGTAGTGTCTTATACCCACAGTAGGTTGATTTCAACCCTCACTCTGTTGTCTCCCAGGAGCAGACTGGACTTGTTGGCTGCTAGACTGTGCCTGTCAGTTATGGCCTATGCTCCTTGCTAGGCCTTTTGTCTTCCTGGACCACGATCCTTAACCTTTGTCACATCACCGATTTGGAGTGTCTGCTCGATCATCTAGCAGAAGTGACACCTGCTCTGGAGTACCTCAGCCTGCTGGGCAATGTGGCGTGTCCCAATGAGCTGGTCAGCTTGGAAAATGATGAAGAAGACTACAAGAGATACAGGTGAGTGTCTAGGGCTTTGAGCATGGCAGGAGAAAGGAAAATAGCATCTCTGGCGGATGGTATTATATAGTGGGGTGCACCGTGTTCAACTTTCACCTTTTGGTAACCTAAAGCCATTGTCTTCCTTTGTTGAGGTCACAGGAGCCACGAAAGATGAAAAGCTTTTGGGTGGTCTAGGTCGGGGGGTAACAAACTTTTTTTGTAAAGGGCCCCAAATAAGTATTTTAGGCTTTGCAGGTCATATGGACTTTGTCGCAGCTATTCGACCCTGCTGTTGCAGTGCAGAAATAGCCATGAATAATTTGTAAATGAATGGGCAGAGGTATGTTCCAGTAAAACTTTATTTACAAAACAGGCAACAGGCCAGATCTGACCATAGCTGTAATGTGCTGGCCCATGCCCTATGTTATAAGATCTTTCCGTGGTCTGCCTGAGTCACTTTTTGGAGAGAGACCATTTCCCACCAAAGTTTAAGGAGTTCATATACAAGCCCAGGAGGAAGTCCCACAGGTTCATATCTCTCCACTGTGAGTCAATGCCCCAGTGTCCACCAGCCATGCATGTTGATGGGCTCTGAGTAGAAATGCTTTTGTTTCTTCTCTTTACTCCTAAACCATCTGCTTTGAAACTCCTGACTCAAACTCGCCTGCCTTAGGTAGTCTTCCTTATCTTATCCATTTTACTAAACTCATTTCTTTTCCTTCTTCATTTTAAATTCTGTGTTCTGTCATTCCTGATTGTTGTTGCATAAGTGTTTTTAATGAGCCATTCCTATATGTACCCTCTTTTCCATTGTGATATAAGTTCTCATTAACACCCCACCCAGATCAATGTGGGTGTGAGGGAGGAAGGGAGAGCAGGAAGGAAGAGGAAGGAAATACTAGGCAGGTAGGGCTACTGGGAAATAGATGTGGCAGGACGGGGGAAAGAAGAAAATGGTTTGAGAGGAACTTGTTCTATTGGGGCTCGTATAAAAATCTGTGATGACTCATGAAGGGATATAGTTGGAAGCTTCCATTTTGTATAAAGGCAAAGCTGTAGGAAATACTGAAGGAACATTAAACGTTGTCGATTTAAAAATACACACACACACATATAAGGCTACAGTGAGAATTCAGTTATATTTCTTTATTGGAAAGAATTTTGTACTTTAACTTCATTTTCTAGGGTTCTTGATTAAGTTTCTATAGAGGTGTTAGACTG